CATGCTCTGAGCTCAGGATAAACACCTGATTCTGACCTGCTGCTGTGAATGCAAACCCAGTTTCCTTCATTTTCTGTGCTTTGATCATTGTTCTCTCTCCCCAGAGTCCCTCTGGGTTTGCTGGGAAATGCACTGAAAGCCAGGCCAGGGGCCAAGGTCGCTGTAACTACTGGGAAAAGGGCACGTTCCAGTCATGTGTGTCAGTCAGAGGCAGCTTTAGAGAGAATTGTAGGGAGAGGGAAAGTTCTCTTTTGCTCATCTCTGGAGTAAAACAGCCTTTCCCAAGATGGGGTTTGCCCTCTGGTGCTGCTTTCACTTGTGGACTCACAGCAAGGTTTATTTTCATCATTTACAAACTCTTCTCCATCTTCTGGAAACATCACAATGTTTTACAGCTTGTGCTTGATACCTCTGGATTTTTCCTCTTGATGGCACGTGGATCACAGCAATCCCAAGCCCTGAAAAGCCTGTTGGCTCCTTCCCTTGTAATTCTGCCTCTCTGAACAGATTTAACACACCTTTAATTGCCCTGGTGTTCTCCATGAAGATTGAGAGCTGCGGCCTTGGGAGCTGCTTTGAAAAAGTTGAGGAGAAATCCTTTGGGAGAATTGTCAGCTCTGATGCCTCAACTCAACCCTAAAACTGGCATACCCCAGCTCCAGATGTATTAACTGTGCATTAACTACTTTTGTTTTTGTCTGAAATATTTCTAGCTGGGGAAAAATGTCTTATTTCAAAACACTGGCTTTTCCTCATCCCTGACAAAGCTCAACTTCCTCATCCATACATGGCTTCATTTCTCAGGGCAGCCATTCCCATCATAWAGCCGTGGGTCAGAAGCAGGAATTTTATCTGGTATTTTCAATCATTTTGGCACAGGGTGAGTAAAACCATGGGAATCTCCTCTGAGTGYCTCAGACCACAGGGAATCCACTGTGGAAAAACCTCAGAGGAGATGCTGCAAATCTCAGTTTTTCCTGAATAAAATCATTTAGAATCTCAGCTGCCTTCAAGCTCCARCTAAAACCCAGCCATTATTCCTAGGGACAAACCTCTTGGATGATTCCAAGCATGATTTATTTACACCAGCTGCAGGAGAGCGAGCAGCACGTCAGCTGCCAGCACCATTCCTGCATCCCTCGCATCCCTCCGTAGCCATGGAGACGGCAGCAGGGGAGCATCGTGCCCATGACAACCCTGCAGGAGCATCTTGAGCRTCTTCAGAGCAGCCCAGCCTCCCCCTGTGGGCTTTTCCTCCTGCCACGCTCTGATTGTTGGCTCCTTCCTGCTCCTACAAAGCTTGTCCTCATGGGCACCTCCCCTTCCAGGATTAAAGGGCAGAGAGAGAAACAGACAGGGCAGATTTGATGTTTAATACTGCCATTTTTAGTGTRTAAAACTTCTTTGGTGTCTAAAGGAAGAGCCTTTCAATTGCTGCTTTAGGGGATAGAAAGTCTTTGGACTGAGTCA